AGGGTGCTTGCAAAACTTCTAGAATCTGAGAGTTATTTTTGTGGCCTAGGGATGAAAGTTAGCTGACATTATTTTTTTTTTACAAAATTCTAAAAACAAAAGAAAAGGAAAAGAAACTAATCTTAAGAAAATCTTCCCTTTAAAAACTTTTGTCGGATGCTGTCAGAACAGTGTAGTCAGAGGCATTTTAGCTATTATATGAGTACGAACCAGACAAAGCTAGTTCCTGTGCATTTCTGAAATACAAACTCACTGGTGGTGGCCACTGGCAAATAGTAAATCATATACATAGAGGTACAGTTACGAGGTAAACAAGCTGTCCAGAAAAAACCACAGAGGTTTTATTTAGATGCTTAAAAATGGTCTCCGATATTTCAATTTAATATGGGTGTCAGTGAAGCTTTCTGCATAGATTGTAGCTGTTGATCAGATGATTTCCTCTCTGTTCTCCCACATCCAAATTTCTTAAAAGGGCACCACATTATAAGAAATGTATGTAGAAAACACAAAGTTCTGTGTCCACTTCTTCATCTTAAAAGTCTGTTTTAAATCTCTTGTAAGAGAAATGGGCCTTTTCGTTTTGTCACTCGTCTCATATTGATACCCACCCATATTTTTTTTCTGTTGGGATATAATGCACATATACATACAGTCCAGAGACAATTACTATCATTAATACATTAGCAGGTAAGTAGGTGATGGTATGGAATAACAGTGAGAGCTACCACGCTTTTTGCATTCTTTTCTTTAGGGTGAAGTTTGTTTCCTCTGCAACTCGGAGACGGTATTATGAATATAGGACTCACTACTCAATACTGAGCCTGAGCTACATTAACACTGCATGAGTGCATTAGCTAACAGTGTTCCCATGGGCGTGACTGTATTTAACACAAATTAAAAAGGAAAATAATGTGCGTCTTCTGCACCGCATTCTAAAGAATCAAATAATCCAAAGTGTGTAGTTCTCAGCAGTTCTGACTGTGTAAGAAACGCTTGAGATTTCGCTTTCACTGACGAACTCGCTCAACAAGAACTTCACAGTCTCAGCCCAGCATTGTGGAGATGGTTGATTCTTTCAGGAAGGTCTTTGACTCTATTTCAGTACCTTGTAATTGTTCATATTTACCAGATCAAATGTTGCAACTCCTCAGTCCAAATCCAAGCCTTACAGGTCACCTGGCAGATTCTGTGATGAAGCTTTAGTGTGGTAATCCCATGATCCTTTGAACACACTTGACCCTATACTTAACAGTTGAGAGGAGAGTGGGACCAGATATACCTTCCCATTCACTTGCTCTTCAACAGTGAAGAGAAGCTTTATGATTGGTCTGCCAAGTAAGTAAAGCCAGCAACAGCTATGGAAATTGATGTTTCAACCAG